AAAAAACAAACTTCAATATATTGGAAGGTGGAGTATGTAACCTTTTATCATCTGAGTATTTTTCCCCCATGGTTAACCTTTACAGTACTCAGCCTGCAGAATGGAAGAAATGCTTACATTCATTATAATTCAACAGTTTGTAACAAAAATTAAAAACAATTTAAGAGAAATTCAGCCAATCAATTCATTATTGTCTGAATAAAGTGTGCTTTATTTTTATGTGATATATAAAGCATTTTATAAAGAAATGATGTTATACTGTAGTAATTTAGCATCAGGAATGCTAAAAATAAATATTGCCCATGTTTCAAATCTTGCCTCTTCTCAACGTTATGCAAATACTGTAATATTATCATAAAGACTTTGAAAAATATTTTCTTTCAGTTGCATATAGCATTTACAGAAATTTTACATATTTTCTGTTCCATCTTTCCATATCTCCATTGATCTCCAATTTCTGTCTGAAGCTGAAAATGTAGAAGATAGAGAAAGCGTGTTTTAAAGCCTCCTAAGAACAAGCACAATGATTCTACAAATTACTTGAAATTCCAATGGACCTACACCATTGTAAATATACCAAGAATTATTTTGAAAGACTAGACAAGAATGTTTGTGACAGCAGTTTTTTACTACATACCTATAAAAGAGTTGTATTTTACATAGCTTTTCTTGGTGCCTAGTTCCCTATATCAAACATGGCAAATTTTATTGTCATATAAAATTCTATCTTTTTTTGTAGTGGGTGGACAGAATCTATATGGGAAAAACATACTTAGACCTCTAGCCATATAGGACTTTAATGGTATGGCTATAACCTTGAATTGTAGTTAGAAACAGCTATAGTGTAATATGGCAGTATCACAAGCTAGCAATAAGTGCACAGTCCATTGAACTTTGTGGCAGCAGAAGTTTCTGGATGGCCTTCAAGCATAAACTAAACAATGTATCACAAGAATCACGTGTGATGGTGCCCAGTACATCCTGTTTTAAGGAGAGCCACAATTGGTAGACTAGAACAAGCTGAGCAAAAACCTCCCTAGGCATAGTTGGTATCTGTTCCATCTTTTACCATATGTTCTTCTACCAAGAATTATGACTCCCCAATAGTCCTCTCCCCAAAAATGCTTAGCCCATTTTTTATGGATAGCGTATAATGTAAAGATAATCTTAGAATCAATAAGTATTGGTGCCTGCTTAGGTTGTGTTTAAGACTAATCTTCCCCATTCAAATTCTGACATTTTCCGGGATTAGGGTGAGGTTAGCTTCTCACTGAGTTTTTTGCATCTCCATTAGGACCTATTAGAAGATTAATCGCTGGATACCCATCAACATGTGGATATTTCACCATAGTGGACAGCCTCTTCTGAAAGCTTCATATAGATGTTTATCAGATTTAAAAAAAAATTAAGCTCTGTAACAACCCCCACCCCACCCCCAAATGAGCAGCAACTTCATTTCTGCCACCACTGACTGAATTTGCCTGCTCTTTGTGCTCTTCTTTACACGACAGGTCCAAAATTTATGTAACTGTTCACTGGTGAAAGACTTGATGCTCTGGCCTAATTTTGGTTATGTGTGGTTGAGCTTCACCTTGTCCTGCACTTCAAAGATCCCCAGATAACCTCTGTTCTATAATGGAAATTTTTAAAAAATGTAGCAAGGATGTTGTGTTATGCTTAATGTTGTGTGGAGAAAAGCTGGGCAACAATATTGTACTTTTTATGAAATGAATGCTATTTTAGATGTTTGGGCTGAAATGATTCACAGAAATAGTACATCTCTGTTTTCAGTGCAGAGCATTGTCACGTCATTATTGGCAATCCCTTAAAACATTTTTGATAGTCAGTCGGTCCATCCATCCAATTTATAGGGCTGCCCATCTTAAAAAAAAAAGTGACTGGATGGCATACAACAAAATTATAAAACAATATATCTTAAAATTTACAATCTGAAAATTTTTAAAGCCTGTTATTAAAAACTAAGGGAAGACAGTAGATATTAAGAGCAATGGAGCCACCTCAGCAAATAATTGGCTCCCCAATTTCTGTGTTAATAAGTTTTTAATATTCAAGAATTTCAAAATAAGCACCAGATTGAAATAATATAATTTTCTGTTTAAAAAAATAGAATACTATCTTAGGTTGGGCTAAAAGTTGATGCACTCTGGAATGGAACAGCAGAACCAGATTCCCACAAGATTGTTACACATTAAATAACATTTAAATTGAAAAACTTACTAAGTTTGAAAGCATTAACAAAAAAAATGAGGATTTAAACAAGTTTCTCACCTAAATGTGAAAAAGAAAAGTTATTAATGGAGGCACATACCAATTCTCCAATAAAACCTACTGTTTTACGACCAAGTAAAGCAGATCTATACTTAAGTTGAAAATTCAGTACCTTCTCAGAAAGTGTACAGAATTGTGTGTATGTATATCCCATATACAACCTAGCTGTAATGAATAATCAGAGTTGAGGGGGGTAATTTTATTTTGTATGTACTCAAGACATGCACCATTAATTGTTCTCCTGTCTCTCTGAAAGCGTCATTCTTTAAACATAACTTTTAACATGGTGCTAATGCATATTAATACAGTTTCGATACTAAATAAATATTTTTGATATACATTTACATCTTAGAGAGGGATGTTGTCCGGAACATGCTTCAGGATAGCTAGACCTCTTGAAACTGATCACCAGATGCTAAGCTAAGTGACCTTGTGTTTCTTAATTGGCAGGGGAAGTCATTTCCCTTTGTTCAGCTTTGCTGCTATACCACTGGTTGAGGGGAGGAAAAGAAGATTGTGGCAGCAAATACCAATTGAAGGCAGTAACTGCTTCATCACTCTTGTAGAGAGTAAGGAAGGATGATCTTGGAGGAGGTATGCAAGAGCCGTTACCTAGGCAAAAGGGGCTGACACATTTTATAAGCTTAGAATAGCAGGATAACATTCAAAAGTGGTTCAGGTAGAGATGCCTGTCTAATTCACTGAACTATAAGAAGGGGAGGAGACACAACATAATCAGACCTGAAAGAGTATTATTATAGCTAATCTTAATAAAAGTAGTTTCAGCCTTACTGTAGAGTTGTTGGTCTAGTACAGGGTTGTCAAACTCCTGGACCATGGGCCAGATGCGTAACGCTTGACCATGCCCATGCCATGGCCAGCAAAGGGGGGAAAAGTCACATGACACTGTCATGATGATGTGAGTTTGACACCCCTGATCTAGTAGGGCTGACAACTGTAGAATGTCTTGGTTGGTTGGGATAGGTTTGTTTCTTTCTCTATACAGTTTTGCTAACTCAGTGCATATATGAAAAAACCTAGTTGGATCCAGATAAAAGTGTGTGGAAGATAACAGCTTGAAAGGTTGGTTAAAAAATGACAAGTAGATGGGAGTGCTTCCATCTAATCTTTGGAGATTCTCCTTCCTTTTTAGTCACAATCTGTGGCACTCAGCAAAACCACCTACTTTTGGGACTGGCTTTTTGGGCTAGGGGATTGGGAGAGAATTTGGTAGAAGACACCCATATGTTGGTTGCCTATCTCTTTTCAACTTATTACAGTAAAGTCTTGATTTTTCAGACCTCAATTGCAGTGGATTTTGCATCGAATGAATCAGTTTTCTAATTGATTACAGATGCCCCTCATTTAACAACCACTCAATCAGCAACCATTTGAACTTATGACAGCACTGAATGAGTAGTAGTTTTGACTGGAGCTCATACTTAACAATGTTGCAGCAATTACCACGATCACATGATCATCATTTGCAATCTTCCCTGCTGGTTTCTGCCAAGCAAAGTCAAGGGGAAGCCAACAAGAAGTTGCAAGTCACAGTCATATGAGGTCCTTGCTTAACAACCTGCACAATCCTCCTTTAGTTGCTGGAAGTGCTACTGTTAAGCACAGTCACAAGATTTTTTGGCTTAATGATGGAGTTTCTAGTCCCAAATAGCATTAAAGGAAGACTATCTATAATTTCATTTGTGCAGTGGTGTCACAATACAAACAGTGTAATTTATATTATTTTTGTAATTCTATAACGCAAATCACTTCAAGTGAGTAGTTCTGAAATTCATTGATGTTGTAGTTATCAATAGTTAATAGTTCAGTACTTGTGAAATTTGTTGATACAAACAGTTTTTGACTTATCACAATTGGGACCAAAATTTCTAACACAAGTCATTGTGTTATCAAATGGGCTGATTTTGTGTAAATTGTGTAACACAAGTCATTGTGTAACACAAGTCATTGTGTAACACAAGTCATTGTGTAAATCAAATGGGCTGATTTTGCAACAATTTTTATGGCGGTCATTAAATGAAACACTGCAGTTATTAAGCAAATTCAGCTTCCCCAATAGGCATCTTGTGTTGCAAATTGACAAAAAGTTTGCAGATCACAATCATGTGACCTTAGGATGCTGCAACTGGTCAAAAATGCAAGGCAATTGCCAAGTGCAAATTGCAATTATATGACCACAGGGATGGTGCAACTGTCATAAGTGCGAATATAGGTTGTAAGTTATTTTTTCCAAGGCCATCATAACTTTGAACCATTGTTTAAAAAGTGGTCATAAGTCAAGGACTATATGTAACTGAACTTCCTTCAGATAGTCCATTAAAACAAAACTTCATTTTTTTCTTTCAAATACGAATTTGTTTTAAAATAAATGGCATTTCAGTCAGATTCTGACTTCATGAGAATTATCTGCTGTGATAGGATTGAAAAGAGGAACATTTATGGAGAAGAAAAATTGATAGCAAACATGGGATTCATAATTACATTGAGTGCATATTTCATTGCTTCCCATCCACTTATTTTTTTAAAAAATGTGTACACATAACTTGTGGGCATGCAGTTTTAACTCATTTTGCCTTTGTTTTAAACAAAACTTAGATAAATATCTCTATGTCTGTTTGTATGTTTAATGTGAAGATAGATTATAGATGAAGTAAGAAAACTATACTGAACTGTTGTGCTGTCATTTCTAGGAGGAGAGACTTCAGCATGCAAACCTTCAACTGTTCGGCTTGCACCATCATTTTCATTCCATGCTGCTGGCCTTCAGATGGCTGGACAGATGTCCCATTCACATCAGCAGTACAGTGATCGTCGACAGCAGAACATAAGCGACCAACAAGTTTCTGCCTTACCATATGCTGATCAGATTCAGCAGCCTCCTGCTAACCAGGTATGTTAACTTTAACACTTGTAGTAAAATAGCATTTTACTTAAAACAGGGCACGTTCTTCTATTAACAGCTTCTGTATAATTCAACTCATCTTTGTGCTAAGCATTTGGAAAAATTGGTTTGAAGTAACATACAAATTCTGCTATAAGTATATTTCATTTTCTGCAAGGAATGGTTTTTTTTTAATTTATATTGCCATGAATCACTGTGATTGCAGTAGACCTTTTTTAACCAACATAATAATTTGTAATATTTTGCTCAAGGGGCTGCTTAGCAAACGTAGTGTAGTTAAGATTCAACTTTATTCATTTTCTATTTCATTCATACCTGAAAACGCAACTGTAAAGGTACCTAATGTAAATTATAGAAAATATGTTCATTATATCTGCTCTATTTTAAAAGAGCAAAAAAAGAATGAGAACATAATAAGTAGACTTGGAATCCATCAACTGGCAACTGGTGCTATCTTACTTAATATTTGTATTGGGGTTCTATAGGACACTTGGGATCACATTCTGATTTTATGTTTGCATAGTTTTGTTCTTAATTATCTTCATGCTATGTTGAACTTCTTAATTCTTTTCTGTTAGATAGCAAATCTAAATTAGATACAGGTACTCCTCAACTTAACCATTTGTTTAGTGACCACTTGAAGTTAGAGCAGTACTGAAAAAGGTGACTTACACTTGTTTTTCACATGATCATTGCAGCGTCCCCAGGGTCACGTGATCAAATTTGGATGCTGGGCAATTGCATGTCCCATTGATTCACATGTGTGGATTTGCTCAGTGTATTGTACTGTGCGGTACAAACAATTTATCAACTTCTGTAATATCTTCATGTCTAATGTTGTTATTACTTGCTTATCATTCAGCAAATGAACATCCGTTGGACCAATCAGCCACTGTTACCTGCAATTTTGTCTTATATTTTAAATAAATTGTATCACTGCCACATTACTGTGAAGAAACTACTACTGAAAACAACAGACTCTTGATAAATTCTTTAGTTTAAAATTACTGAGCAAGCAAAGTTGTGAACATTTATAAATGTGTCTTTGATTTAATCGAAGACTGATCAGAAGAAATCCGATTAAAATATTTTTTAATGCTACAGCTCCATCTAGTGGTCAAACAGAAATCCATGCACAGATCATATTTATTATTAATGGGAAATTAAAAGTACTAAGTTTGATACAATTCACTCTCTGATCATTTAATATAAAATTTTAAAGGAAATGTTAGTGTACTGTATTTGCAAATGTAGAGTAATATGTAATTCAAGTAAAAAGTGAAATTCTGTCTTTATCACAACTATATAAATTACACTGCTCAAAAAATAAAGGGAACACAAAAATAAGACATCCTAGATCTGAATGAATGAAATATTCTTATTAAATACTTTGTTCATTACATAGTTGAATGTGCTGACAACAAAATCACACAAAAATTATCAATGGAAATCAAATTTAGCAACCCATGGAGGTTTGGATTTGGAGTTACACTCAAAATTAAAGTGGAAAAAAACACTACAGGCTGATCCAACTTTGATGTGATGTCCTTAAAACAAGTCAAAATGAGGCTCAGTAGTGTGTGTGGCCTCCACGTGCCTGTATGACATCCCTACGATGCCTGGGCATGCTCCTGATGAGGTGGCGGATGGTCTCTTGAGGAATCCCTTCCCACACCTGGACTAAAGCATCCCCCAACTGCTGGACAGTCTGGTGCAGTGGTGGCTGGAGCGAGACATGATGTCCCAGATGTGCTCAATTGGATTCAGGTCTGGGGAACGGACGGGCCAGTCCATAGCATCAATGCCTTCGTCTTGCAGGAAATGCCGACACACTCCAGCCACATGAGGTCTAGCATTGTCTTGCATTATGAGGAACCCAGGGCCAACCGCACCAGCATATGGTCTCACAAGGGGTCTGAGGATCTCATCTCGGTACCTAATGGCAGTCAGGCTACCTCTGGCGAGCACATGGAGGGCTGTGCGGCCCCCTAAAGAAATGCCATCCCACACCATTACTGACCCACTGCCAAACCGATCATGCTGGAGGATGTTGCAGGCAGCAGAACGTTCTCCACGGCGTTTCCAGACCCTGTCACGTCTGTCATATGTGCTCAGTGTGAACTTGCTTTCATCTGTGAAGAGTACAGGGCACCAGTGGCAAATTTGCCAATCTTGGTGTTCTCTGGCAAATGCCAAACGTCCTGCACGGTGTTGGGCTGTAAGCACAACCCCCACCTGTGGACGTCGGGCCCTCATACCACCCTCATGGAGTCTGTTTCTGACCGTTTGAACAGCCACATGCACATTTGTGGCCCGCTGGAGGTGATTTTGCAGGGCTCTGGCAGTGCTCCTCCTGTCCCTCCTTGCACAAAGGCAGAGGTAGCAGTCCTGATGCTGGGTTGTTGCCCTCCTACGGCCTTCTCCACGTCTCCTGATGTACTGGACTGTCTCCTGGTATCGCCTCCATGCTCTGGACACTACGCTGACAGACACAGCAAACCTTGCCACAGCTCGCATTGATGTGCCATCCTGGATGAGCTGCACTACCTGAGCCACTTGTGTGGGTTGTAGACTCCATCTCATGCTACCGCTAGTGTGAAAGCACCGCCAGCATTCAAAAGTGACCAAACCATCAGCCAGAAAGTGTAGGAACTGAGAAGTGGTCTGCGGTCACCACCTGCAGAACCACTCCTTTATTGGGGATGTCTTGCAAACTGCCTATGCTTTCCACCTGTTGTCTATTCCATTTGCACAACAGCATGTGAAATTGATTGTCAATCAGTGTTGCTAGCTAAGTGGACAGTTTTATTTCACAGAAGTGTGATTGACTTGGAGTTACATTGTGTTGTGTTCCCTTTATTTTTTTGAGCAGTGTACATTGGCTTACAAATTAATATAAATATAAGAGTTTGATCTAGTCAGTAAAATCATATTAAAATCAGTATTGTTAAAATCAATTAACAATTTAATTGATTAATTAAAAGGTTAGCAAATAGATTCATCTTTCTTAAATACTAAGAGAATGGAGACATATTCTAGGGGAGAGAAAGTTCTATAGCCTGAGTACTCATCACTTGTTGATTAGGTACCAAAGTACTTGCAGTAGAAGCATTTTAAATCCACTTTTTTCTTATCTGGGTAGCTGGATAAGTTATAGTGGGAGATGTATTTCAACTATTCAAGTCCTGATTTGTTTAAGATTTTAAAATTAACACCAGAATATTTATTTATTCAATTTATATTGCCACCGGCTCACATCCATGTTTATAGGTGTATTACAATAAAATAAGTAAAACCCCATAGCAGCTGGACAGCATCCAAACAATTCAGCATAGCCTGAAGGTGGCCTTGTTACACACCCAGAGCTACAGAGAGGGACAATATAATATCATGGGGATGATATTCCAAAGGGCAGATGCGATCAGAAAAGGCTCTCCTAAGTCCCACCAGCCAATACTTCCTAGCCAAGAATACCTATGGCATGCACCTACTTCTGGATCAGGTGAATATTTGGGGAGGATCTGTCTGTTAAGTAACTTGGTCTTAAACCATGAAGGGCTTTAAAAGTGCCAGTTAGTATCTTAAATTGCACCCAGAAGTGCAATTCATGTTAATAAATGTCATGTATGCTGGGTATCTGATGAATTAATTGCCTGCAACAACACGTTCTTCATTAATTGAAACTTCCAATTCTTTAAGGGCAGTCCTATGCAGAGCACATTACAATAATCAAATGTAGAGGTCATAAAAATTGTCCAGTATCATGAAATATAGTGACGGCCTCCTGTGCAGACCACAGCTTCCTTAAGAGATGATGGTGGAATTATTCATTCTCTCAAAGAGAAATTAACTACTGTCAGAGCCTAATCTCATTTTCCTTCCCTTCATTGACCAGAAAGGCATGCAGCTTACAGAAGTTGCTGTTCTAATGGCCCCAAGGACCCTATCCTCTTGCTTGGACCTATCTTATGGTAGTAAGAACAACAATAGGATCAGACTCTCCCTAGATAATTGAGCTAGACCTGGTCCCAATAATTGCCTGGAGTTCAACTTAGAGCAGATAAGATTGACAAGTATATTCTTCACAATAACTCTAAATAATCGCCAGAACCCTCCTTGTACTTCCAATAATGGTAGACAACTACAAAAGCATTGCTGCTCTTACTGCCACAATAGCAGTCGTCTCTCATATTGGGATTCGCTGCTTATCATCCTACAGTAGCTTTCTAAGCGCCTCTTCTTCTGCTTCATCTTCCTTAGTTCTGTCAAGCGCAGGAAATCAGAAGTCCAGACAGTTCAAAATGAATATAAAGGTTCATTGCAAGCTTATATTTGCTACAAGAACTGAGCTACTAAGGGTCAGAGCAAATTGGTGGTAGATAAGTCAATGGAATTCAAGGTCAGCTGGACTCTAGTGGCATGAAGGGGGTTTGAGACTGATGATGATTTCACCCTTCCCTCAGGCTCAGCCTGTTCATCTCCTACATTCATCTTCTACTTTGCTCCCCCCTTCCATGGGTTCTTCTGTAGTTCTTTCCTCCTCAAAATCTGAGTTCTCATGGGAACTTGGCAAAGAGGGAAGGAAAGTGGTTTCAAAGGAATCCGGTTCCCCCTCATTTGAAGTAGCTGGCAAGCCAGGTAGTGGTTGCTGCAACACAAAAACATTGTTAGAGGTTTCCTCTTCCCTGCTTGGGAGTTGAAGGCCGGATGTGGTAGGCCCATTGTGGCAAGGATCCCGCTTCTCCCTGGCACAATCCAGAGGGGCTGGTTAACATATTCCTCAACAGGTTCCTCCAACGAAACTGGATGTCCTCCAACAGGTTCCTCCAATGAAACTGGATGTCCCTCCTGCATGTGTGGCAAGCGGCCACATATTTCTTGATGTTTGCTGTCATCCCAGGCCACCAAAAGTCTCTTTAAGGTTCTGCGCAGAGTTTTGAACATACACTGTGCCCTGCTGTTTGATTTTCATGGCAAAAGTGCAGAAC